GAGTGGAATTGTTGGCTCCCATGGTAATCCTACATTTAACATTTGGAGGAACTGCCAGACTGTTTTCTAAAGCAGCTGCACTATCTTACATTCTACTAACAGTGTGTGAGGGCTCCCGTCTCTCCACATCCTCGCAGACATTTATTATTGTCATTTTTTTTTTTAACTTGAGAGAAAGAGCAGGGGAGAGGGGCCACAGGAAAGAGAGAGAGAGAGAGAGAGAGAGAGAGAGAGAGAGAGAGAGAGAATCTTAAGCAGGCTCCACACTCAGTGTGAACCCGGCACAGGGTTCCATCCACGACCCTGCGATCATGACCTGAGCCAAAATCATGAGTTGGACGCTCAACAGACTGAGCCACCCATGAGCCTCTCATTGTCTGTCTTTTTGAGACCATATATTTTTCAAATGTTTATTTACTTCTTAATTTTGTTTTTTTTTTTTTCAACGTTTATTTATTTTTGGGACAGAGAGAGACAGCATGAACAGGGGAGGGACAGAGAGAGAGGGAGACACAGAATCGGAAACAGGCTCCAGGCTCTGAGCCATCAGCCCAGAGCCGGACGCGGGGCTCGAACTCACGGACCGCGAGATCGTGACCTGGCTGAAGTCGGACGCTTAACCAACTGCGCCACCCAGGTGCCCCTTACTTCTTAATTTTGAGAGAGAGAGAGGGAGAGAGCACACATGCGTGCACAAGCAGGGGAGGGGCAAAGAGAGAGGGTGAGAGAGAATCCCAAGAGGGCTCCTCACTGACAGCACAGAGCCCAGGGCAGGGCTCAATCCTACGAACCATGAGACCATGACCTGAGCGGAGATCAAGAGTCTGATGCATAACCGACTGAGGCACCCCATTGTCTTTTTGAGACCATATTTTTACTGGCTGTGCTACCCTGAGTAGAGTCTCCTGGGCGTGAGTTCAAATCCTACCAGCTGTGGAATCTCAGATGAGTAGTCTGTCTGCATCCTTTTCTGGGAAAATGGTATAAGAATCCTTTCCTCCCAGGCTGTCAGGAGATGGGTTGGAGACATCATCAGAGCCGTGCCAAGTGGAAAGTGAGGTGCACCCGTCTTGTTTTCATAACTGGGCACCACCCTCCGGGGGTTGGGGGCAGGTGCACCAGGTGTGAAGTCCCTGAGATGCTGACCCATCTGGCCTACTGATCTCTTCCCGGTGCCCGGACCTGAGTCTGGCATACACTAGGTGCTTGGTAAGTGCAGACCCTGGGTACAGCTCGGGACCTCCCTTTGTGGTAGCGGCTGAACCCCTCTGGGGCTCTCCGGAACCTGTGTGCGCCAGAGGACCAGGCCGGGCTGTAGCCTCTACGGGATTCTGCCTGCGCTAAAGGCCTTGACATTTTTTCCTTCCTTAAGACACGTTCCTTCTGTGTGTTAAGAGCCCTTGTCCTTCCGGGACAGAGGCCAGAGAGCTTCGCCAGTGACAAAAACAGTCACATAATGGCAGGCACATCCTAGCAGTGGCCCTTGTTCACGTTCAGTAAATCCAGCGAGTGTTTGTGGGGTGTCCTAGGCACCTCACTTCCCCTTCCTACTCACCCCTTCCCTGCAAGGCAGACCTCCATGCTCTCGATCAACCAGTATTTTTTATTTTTTTTTACTACTTTTTATTATTTTTAAAAGCTTATTTATTTATCTTTGAGAGCAAGAGAGAGAGAGAGCGAGAGCAGTGGGCAGAGAGAGAGGGAGACAGAGAATCCCAAGCAGGCTCCGAGCCCACAGCACGGACCCTGATTCGGGGCTGGATCCCATGAACCATGAAATCATTTTATATACACAGTGGAATACTACTTGGCAATGCGAAAGACTGAAATATGGTCTTTTTTTTTAAATTTTTTTTTTAACTTTTTATTTATTTTTGAGACAGAGAGAGACAGAGCATGAACGGGGGAGGGGCAGAGAGAGAGGGAGACACAGAATCGGAAGCAGGCTCCAGGCTCCGAGCCATCATCCCAGAGCCCGACGCAGGGCTCGAACTCACAGACCGCGAGATCGTGACCTGGCTGAAGTCGGACGCTTAACTGACTGAGCCACCCAGGCGCCCCAGAAATATGGTCTTTTATAGCAACGTGGATGGAACTGGAGAGTGTTATGCTAAGTGAAATAAGTCATACAGAGAAAGACAGATGCCGTATGTGGATCCTGAGAAACTTAACAGAAAACCATGGTGGGGGTGGGGGGGAAAGGGAAAAAAAAAATGAGGTTAGAGAGGGAGGGAGCCAAAACATAAGAGACTCTTAAAAACTGAGAACAAACTGAGGGTTGACGGGAGTGGGAGGGAGGGGAGGGTGGGTGATGGGCACTGAGGAGGGCACCTGTTGGGATGAGCACTGGGTGTTGTATGGAAACCAATTTGACAGTAAATTTCATAGTAAAAAAAAAAATCATGACCTGAGCTGAAATCAGGAGCCTGATGCTTAACCAACTGAGCCATCCGGGTGCCCCAACCAGTATTTTTTTTTTTTCAATGTTTTTATTTATTTTTGGGACAGAGAGAGACAGAGCATGAACAGGGGAGGGGCAGAGAGAGAGGGAGACACAGAATCGGAAACAGGCTCCAGGCTCTGAGCCACCAGCCCAGAGCCCGACGCGGGGCTCGAACTCACGGACCGCGAGATCGTGACCTGGCTGAAGTCGGACACCCAACCGACTGCGCCACCCAGGCGCCCCCCCAACCAGTATTTTTAAAGTACCTACTAAGTGCCAGGAGCTGGTCCTGCAGCTGCGAACAAGATAGATGTGGGGGTGCCTGGGTGGCTCTTGATTTTGGCTTAGGTCATGATCCCATGGTTCCGTGAGAACGAGCCTGAGTCTGGGCTCAGTATTGACAGCAAGGAGCCTGCGTGGGATTCTCTCTCTCTCTCTCTCTCTCTCTCTCTGCTCCTCTCCCGATCACACGTGCACACGTGCATGCTCTTTCATTCTCTCTCAAAATAAATGAACCTAAAAAAAAAGACAGATGTGATCCCTTGCCTCATGGAAACCAGTACTATTTTCCAGATAAGGACACAGGCACTGGAAGGGGAGGCTTTTGCTCGTGGCTCCCGTTGAATCAGCGGCAGCCAACATCCCACCTCCTGGACCAAAAAAAGTCACTTCCTTGCATGGGACCTCAGTTGCCCAGTCTGTGAAATGTGGGGCCGGAGGGGCCTAGGTTAGCTACCCTAGTGCTGACGGCTCACAGCTCTAACCCCGGACCTTGGAGGAGAGCAGGTACCCACCAAGGTACCTGCTTGGTGGAGGAGAGCTGGCCCCACCGTCTCCATCAGGCTCCTGGTAGCCAGGACCATCTTTGTCATTTTCTTTTCATTCGAGAGGCGCCTCTCTGCAGAAATGGGCCCCAGGTTCGTTTGCCTGATGCCCGCTCCTCCCAGCCAGCAAGGCCCCCAGCAGAGAGGCTTTCGGTCTGGAAGGCCTGAGGGAGCCTCTTCTGTTTACATTCCTCACCACAGCCAGATAGCTGCCTGTTTGCTCTAAGATCCTGAAAACCCAGACGGAAGAGCTTCTCTCCCCTCCCCATTATGGAGGGAGCCGCTTCTGGAGAAGCCACACTCCTCTCCAAGCCTCAGATTCCCATCTCTACAGTGAGCACGGGCGATCCCTGCCTCACAGCCTGCTTGGAAGGAAGGTTTACTTGACAAATCTCCCACCCCACACCCCCGCCACTCTCAGTGAGTTAATTATTAGGGTTTATTTTTTTTTTTGTAAATGTTTCGTACTGGCGTTTGAACACATCATGTCTGTTCAGGTTCTCCTCTCTCTCCTTCTCTCCCTCCCTCTCTCTCTCTTTCTCCCCCTCTGCAGCAATTCCAAAATCCGACTTTCTAGCTGCTGAACCAACATCTCATGGGAGCCATTTCTGTTTGCAGGCTGAGGGACCCCACTGTTTTTGCGGAGCCAGCTCAATTTAAAGAACAGTAATGATAAAGGGGCTAAGAACGTTCCCTGGGCTCTGCAGGGACCCGGTGCTCCCAGCCTCTCCACTGTGGCTGTGGGCTGGGGACATACCTACACCCTACTCTACAGTGGGGACACAGAGGCGCAGAGGTGGAGATGACTGGCTGCTCGGGTAGGGCACAGAGCCACAGCTGTGGTGGGGGGTGCTCAGGGAGCTTGGCTCTGGAGCTCAGGCCCACCGGGCTTCCAACCAGTCCCAGCAGAAGTGAGCTGCCCATCCTGTGGAGGCATTCAAGTAAAAGGCGAGACTGCATGTCAGGAGCTCACCTTCACCATCTAATAAAAAATTAAAAAAACAGGGGCGCCTGGGCGGCTCAGTCGGTTGAGCGCCGGACTTCGGCTCAGGTCATGTTTTTCCCCCTGCGTTGGACTCTGTGCTGACAGCTCGGAGCCTGGAACCTGCCTCTGATTCTGTGTCTCCCTCTCTCTGCCCCTCCCCTGCTCACGCTCTGTCTCTGTCTCTCAAAAATAAATAAATGTAAAAAAACCTTATTATTATTTTTTTTAATTAAAAAACAAAAATAAAAAAAAACACACCTTGATCACCTCCTAGGTGCCAGGCCCCTTGCTAAGCGCTGGTAAAGAGGGGAAGAAAGGGAGCTCACGTGAATCTAGCCCCAGACAGCACGGTCTGGATCTCAGATGCCTCCCCTGTGGGACTTGGGGCTACCCCAGGGCAGGGTCCCCCGCAGCCGCGTCTGTCGGGGGGGGGGGGGGGGGGCTGTCTACCAATGAATGAATGAATGAGCCAATGCCCGGGTGGGAGGACCCGCCAGGCGCCCATTACCAGAGGAGGAGCTGCCCGGGGGTGGCGGGGTCAGGAGCCCGGGAGGGATCTCGGGGGCCCCAGGCAGAGCCCTCCCCGGGAAGCGCCTGTGGCCCCGCGGCCGCGATCGCGACGCCCGGCTTCCCGGGTGGGGGACCGAGCCCGCTCTCCGTCCTCCCCCCACCCCCCCAGCGGAGGCGGCGAGCGGCGGGGGCGGGGGCAGCCGGGGGCGGCGCGCGGCGCTGGAACCTGAGCCGGGGGAGGAGAGTCGCGCGGCGCGGGCGTGCGGGCGCCGGGCGGCCGGGATTCAGGAAGCGCCTCGCGGTCCCGGAGGTGAGTGGGGCCGGGGCCCTCGGGACAGGGATCCTGGGGAGGGGGGGGGGGCGGCGCCCCCGGGGACGTCTCCTAGGCTCCGAGGCTCCGGTCCGGGGCGCGGGAAGGAGGCGCGGGGTCCCGCCAGCTCCCGCTGCCCCGCTGCGTGCCCTCGCACCCGCCCCCTCGTCTCTCTCGGCTTCGGTTTGTTTTATCACCTGTGAAATGGGCGCCGGCGTGGGCCGTGGGGTCGCCCGGTGGGCGGGAGGGAGGTCCCGGGGTCCCCAAGAGCCAAGCGCAGGAATCAGAGGCGAGGAGGCCCTGCAGCCCACCTTAGAGGCATCCCCATTTCGGGGGGCTGGGAAGGGGCAGTCGGGGGCCCTGAGGTCTGCCTTCTATGGCTAAGCAAGCGGGAGGGAATTGGAAGTCTGGAACTTCCAGAGGCCCACTTCTTCGTTGGCCTCAGTTAGTCCCAGAGACGGCTCTTCCTCCAAGAGGCAGGACAATCTTTAACCTCCGGCTGTGCCTCCAGAGCCTCCTGGGAGGTCCGCCAGGACGGGGAGAGACCTCCCGCACTCCCCACTAGCCTGCAGAGACCCGCCACAGACTGACTGCTGCGGGGGCTGCTCACCACCCCGCCTGCCTGGCCCTGCCCAGCCCTTCGGCCCGTCTGCCCTCCCCATTTTGCAGATGAGGAAACTGAGGCTCTGGTCGGGGGTGGAGCCAGGTGGAAGTTTTACCCAGGGCTGCGGGGCTCCAGAGCCCTCCCTGCCTGGTGCCCTGGGGGGGGGGGGGGTGCCCTGGCTCAGCCTCTACTGCGGGGCTCTGCTGGGGCTGGGGTTGTGTGATGCTGTGTGTGAGCTTTGTTCTGGGAGCTAAGACCCACTCGGGGATTTAAGCTTCGCCACTTTATCTGTGGGGTGAGGACGGGGGTAACTCTATGACCTAAATGAGGAAGTTGAAAAGGTGGTCTCTTGAGAGAGGTCAAGTAGAAGGGGCAGACCTATGTGGGCCCCCCCGTGCCACCCCAGTTTTGTGTGACCTTGGGTCAGTCCTTTGGCTGTCTGAGAGATAGCTCGTCTGTAAAATGGGGGTGAAATGAGGGCCACCCCAGGGCTGTGGGGAGGACAGACCGCCTGGGAGGAGCTGGCCACACACTCCCAACTCACCCAGCAGCGTCATTGTGCTTGCTTGCTCCGGTAATGAAGAGGTGAAAAGAGGTAACTGGCCATTTCCCCATTTCTCTAGTTGATTCTGTTCGAATGACGGTAGGGAGCCCCTCTTCCCACCTTTGTCGGTGGTAAATCAGAGTGGGGAGGAGCTCCCCAAACAAATGGCAGGCGGAGGTCATGGGCCAAGGCAGGGTCTGGTTTGTAAAACCCCGGGGGTCGGTGGGGGGGTCGCTGTGAGAGGAGGGGGTGTGGGTGAGAGCTGAGAAGATGCGCTGGGGAGTGGCTGCGGGCGCCCTGGCAGTTCACCTGGTGGGAGCGGGGCCTTGGCCACTTTCTCCTGTGTCTAGCAAGGCCTCCTGGAAAGCCCCCCCCCCCCCCCCCCCCCCCCCCGTCGGCCTCGGACCCTGGGCAGGGTCTAGCCGGAGGGCTCTGGCCCCCTCCACCGCCTCCCCCAAACTGGGATTGCCTCTCCTGCCAGCTGTGCCCTCCAGGCAGGTGGGCACCCAGCAAGGTGAGCACGTATGGTAGATGCTTGGCAAATGTGTGCTCTCAAATGAATGGGGGCCAGGAGAGAAGTCTGGGAAGGGATCGGGGAGGGCTTGATCGAGGTGGGGGTTCAAGCCACACCTTGAAGAATAAGTAAGGGAAAGGGCACTCAGGTAAAGGGAAGGACATTATGAGCAAAGACCTGACCACTACCTGCTGCCAGGTGGGTAAAGCTAGACTTTGTAAGGCCAAGACATTGTTCCGTTTGTCTGGAATGTGTGACGTGACCAGGAAGGGCAAGGGATTGGGCAGGCAGGGGCTAGGTCAGACCCAAGAAGCCCTGAAGTCCAGGCTGGGAGGGACGTGCCAGATGTGTGGTCTGGAAAGGTCCCTCTGGCTGCAGAGTCAGGGCCAGGCCAGGAGGCCGGTCCCCAGGCTGGAGAAGCCATCCCGGCCCGGGGCCTGAGGCCCAGGATGGCGACTGGAGAGGGGCGGCTGGCAGGCGACGGGGGGGAGGGAGAGAATCGGGCAGGGATTGGCCTCACTGTGCCCGGCACAGGTCAGGTGCTCCATAAATCTCTACTGCACAGTTGAGTGACTGGACTACATCATTTTGAGAGGGCCCAAGTCCTTTGCGGTCCTTTACCTGTTCCTTGGTGGGAGGGGGAGTTGGCATGGAGTGGGCATCTCGACCTCTCACAGGCCCCTGACCTGCTGTCTGCCTCAGCTTCCCCCATCTGATTCTGGGAAAGACACTGCAGGCCCCTCCCCAAATCACTGGGCCATAGAGAACGGCTCCACTTCTCATCACACACCAGATCTGGGGAGCCAAGAGAACATTGCACGCCAGCGGGCCCTCTGGAATGCTCCACATGGCCCATTTGGAGTGGAATTCACCTGTTAAAGATTAATTCAGATCTCTTGAGATACCTGTGGCCCTAGGCCCCAAAGCTGGTGCTCTGATCACTGAGTTCTGCCTGGCTTCAGCCAAACCTGGGCCGCATTAGTAGTCCTTATGATGGTCGCGAGCATTTATGGAGCGCTTACTATGTGCCAGGCACTGAGCCAAACACTCTTAGTACATTTGGATATGAAACTATTATCGTTCCCATTTTTGAGAGGGCGGAGCTGCGAGGTCTGGGTAGTGAAGCCGCTTGCCCAGGGTCTTTTAGTTGGGGAGGGGCAGAGCTGGGATCTGAACTCCGTTTGTCTGATTCCAAAATCCACGCCCTTAACTTCCAAGGTGGCCTGTCCCCATTTGTCCCGTCCTGAAGTCACGGGGAAGAGACTCTGCGGTGTAGAGAGAAGAATCTGGATTGCTCAGACAGGCCCTGCTTTAAGTCCTAGGTCTCCTGCTCCTTCTCCAGGGAAGCTCGGGCAAGTCACCTGGCCTCTCTGAACCTCAGTTTCCTCTTCTGTCAAATGGCGCTCTCAGATGCCACTTTGCAAAGACAGTCCGAGGCACACGGATGGGGCTCCGGAGCACCGCCTTCATCCTCATCCTGTTCCAGGACACGTTTTCCTCCAGCTCGTCCCTAGGGCTCCCTCTGAGAGCCCCTCGGTGCCAGGCAGGTGGGCGGAACGTAGCAGGGGCAAAGCTAGACTTGCATTTGGACAGAGGACGATGCCTTTTCAGCCGTGAGATATTTACGGGCATTGACTGAGTGCCAGGAGCCCGTCAACGTTTCCTACTTTCCTGATTTAATGCTTTAAAGACTAAGGCTGGAGGGGGCGCCTGGATGGCTCAGTCAGTTGAGCATCCGACTCTTGATCTCAGCTCAGGTCTTGATCTCGGGGTCGTGAGTTCAAGCCCTGCATTGGGCTCCACAGGTGTGGAGCCTACTTTAAAAAATAAATAAATCCATAAAAATAAAAACAAAAATACTAGGGCTGGAACCTGGCTATCTGGTTTAACTCCCGGCTTTTAGTAAGTTCCCTTACTCCCTGGGCTGTGGTTTCCCCATCTGAAAAATTGGGATAATAAGAGTGCCTGTTCTGTGGGGTGGATGTGGGCAGTCTCCAATGCCACGTAGTGTGTCACCTGATGTTCACCTCGATGATGTCACAGCCTTGCCCCCACTGGAGATGGGCAGAGGACGGAAGCTGAAGCTCATTTTATGGCTGAGAAAACCGGGGCTCCAAGGGAGAAGCAAGCGACTCTGGTCCCCTTGGGTCCCTGGAAAGCCCAGTGGCCACTTCAGCTTCCACTTTGGACCAGCCCCTCTTAGAGTCAGACCCACCTTGGTCCCCATTCTAGCTCTGCCACTTGCTGCTGTGTGATCTCAGGTGGCAGCTTGACCTCTCTGTTCCTGGGGCTGCCACCCAGGATTTGCTGGAGGTTGGAGCTTCGTCAGCTTGAGGGGGATTTGGGTCATTCTGGCCACTACCCTTGCCCCAGCCTGGACTCCCCCCTGCCTGGGTTTCCCTTGGGTCCCGTGAACTGGCACGCTGGCCGAACGGGAACGAGGAAGGGAGGCCAGGCCCTTACTTTCACCGTGACTCTGACTTCCTTCCTGCCTCTGAGCCCCTTCCTGGTCATTGGCTTCCCCTTTCTGTCCCAAGCCCTGGCCACTGCTGTGTGACCCCAAGTAGGTCACCTCACCTCTCTGAGCATGTTTCTTCATTGGTGAGGGAGCGTCAGACACCGCGCCATGGGCATAGGAAGCCCTCCATAAAAGGTCTTGGGTCTGCTCCAGATGAGGTCAGAGGCTGGGAAAGGCTGCAGAAGGAGGAGAGGGTGTGGGGGGCAGACAGGAAGGCTATTGACCAAATGGGAATACTCTTATTTTTCTTTGGGTGGTGAGTAACGGCTGCCCGCCCTGCCACCCCCCTGCACAAAGGGCTCCTCAGTCTCACCGGCGCCTGTTTTTCCCTGAGGGTGGAGTGGCCTGGGTTCCACCCAGCTGACCGGGAGGGTGACCACCTTCTGGGATGGTTCCTCATGTGTGTGTGGGGGGGGGGGGGGGGGGGCACTTGTAACACATGCCCCGAGTGTGCCCCACAGGCTCAGGGGAGACCCCTGTGGGCAGGGGGCCAGTGAACCTCAGGCCAGGGACCTGTCAGCCCGGTTCACTCCTGTCTCTTGCAAAGACGAGGCGCTCAGGAAAACCTGTAGACGTAGGGAAGGAAGAGAGGAAGGAAGGAAGGAAGGAAGGAAGGAAGGAAGGGTGGGTGGGAAGGAGGGAGGCAGAGGTGACTGAACAGACAAATTAACAAGGCAGGGGCATCAGAAAAAACCACTTACTTGAATTCAGACTCTGGCTGAGACGGAGTGGGCTTGGGGAAGTGTCCTGGTCTGCTTGAGCCTCAGTTTCCTCACCTGCAAAACGGACTCATGATTAGCTGTCGTCCTCATGGTGGGTG